TTTTCACTTTTAGCGATTATCTTATTTTGGTGTAGGTAATTCTAAAACAAATGACCGCAGATACTTGAAATTTWCACTAAATGTTTATATAGGCATTTTCTATATTTGATAAAATTTTCAAAATATTTAAATTTGTTTTGAGCGGTTCACTGACATTTTAATTTTTCAACGTTTTTGGTTTTTTTTTTCTATAAATATCGATAAAAATGTATTTGTTCGGTAGAAAAGYTTGAAAATTTAATAAAAGGCTTCTAACACATTGTAACAATAGCAGTTAAAAAATATTAAAAATACATAKGCACGATTTTTTTTTATAAGCATTTAAAGTTCAAATTATGACTAAATGCGTAAAAATTACGGAAATGTCAAATTATCATCTTAGATAGAAATTCATAAAAGTTTTTCTTTTTAATTCTAAGATTTSAACATTTAATACAAGACTCCTGCATATTTTTACAATAGCAGTTGAAAAATAAAAGAAATACATGGTCACAATTTTTTTTTATAAGCATTCAAATTTTGAATTTTGACAACATGTGTAAAAATCATGAAAATTCGCAAATTATTTTAAACTAGAAATTCATAAAAAAATTTCTTTTTAAATCTAAGATTTGAAAATTTTTAATAATCTATAATATATTATAGACAGATAAACCGTCTTCGCTCWGAATCGTTTTTCGTATACAGTGATATAATATCATTGGATTCAAATTTAATTCCATCCATTACAGTAACCCACTTGTAACCTACTGTACAACAGAGCGACATCCACGACTTACCCGCCTTTTTTTTTTTATTGTTATTAATTTTTAGCACCATAGTAACTTATAAGTATTATAACATTTGTAGGAATGTTACAGTTGATTGAGGAACACTTGTTTGTGTGGAGAGAATTCTTTACTAAAAACCCGGCTATTCGTTGATCACCCATCTTAGAACTTACGRCGTCAGTTGATGCTTGACCTCTGTACACATTTGTTACTGAGGACAACCAACTCAGACTCSAATACATTATTAAAAATAAATATTTGGTGTTCTGAATAGTTAATATAGTATTATAAGTTAACACCTATTATTACTACAATTTAATTCTAGTCTTAACAGTGAACAATTTAAGTAATACATTTTTAACGTTATTAWTAGTAYTAATTATATATTACTTACATTATTATTGTTATTACTAAAAATGTTATCATATTTATATCTGATTACTTATTTTAAATAATGAATTACTATACAGAAAAAAATGAATAGAAATAATCCAAACTAAAATTTAAGTTTTTTGACCACAGAATGCTGATAACAGTAATAACGATTAACTAGTTTCTAAAATATTGCTAATTATATTTATCTGTAGTCCATACTGTTATGATATGTTGTTATTCTAAAAGTTAGTGAATTAATWAATAATTATTTTTTCTTGTTTTTAAACTTGTGTTATCCTTGTTTAGTTTTTTGACTTGTTAGTATCTGATTAAATTGTCAAGAAAATTAGAATTGATCGGTTAGGTTGATTTATAGTCAGTGTTTATTGGTCAAATACAACATTGCTAATCTTTCTTTGGCAAATCCAGGATGTAACCAATTATAATATGTTGTGCTCACAGAATAATAAAATGTAGTTTTCTGACTTAGTGTGAYTTCCACRCGTCTTAATTCATTATTATGCCTGCCTCGCCACATTACTAGTTGTTGCCTGCTATAGTAGCTATCTACAGCGTATAGCAGCCTACTGCAGTTAGTTTCATTGACATCGTCTTTCAGTTTTGATTATGATTTCTTTTGTGTTTCTTCTCATTATTAATGTATTTTATTTTATTTACAGCTACGACGCCTGTGAAAACATCACCTGAATCGCCAACTACAGTTGAACGGCCTAGAACTAATACAGGATCCGGTCAAAATGCTCCAACAAAGGTGAACTCATTTTTTTTTATTTCGTTATGTATTTAATAGGGTTGTCTTATCTGTGCTCAATATTTAATAAATGAGTCATGATGAATCATTAGCTTTTGCCGTCATTWGATTAAATTTTTTATATTTTGATTCTGCGGAATGTTTTTCCGAATGCGGTATAATTTAATACGGCTGATAATACCACACCGTGTTTTGTGCATTTTCAAATTTTGTTACATTCTATAGTATAGAATTTTTATTATTTATTTGATTTTTTGCGTTATTTCTCTATGTTTTGAATTATATTTTAAGTTCTTAAACTTATTTTACTATATATATGTTTATAAGTATAATAATTAAAATACTCTGCATATGATCTTATGAACGAATATTTCTAAAGAACATCCATTATTCATTTTTATTTGTATGGTTTTTCTAAACAATAGGCTGAAAAAATTAAACGAAAAAATCTGAATTTAATTTTTTAAATCTTAATACCTATAGAATAAATTGCTAACTCAATAGAAATCCATTATTTTGATTTAAATATAATTTTAAGAAAGTTAGTTATTCACTTACTGGGTGGTTCGTTGTTAGGCTATTTTTTATGACTACTTGAGTAGGTGAGTTAAATATT